ATTTGTTGTAATACTATTTTGCATTTAATTTACCTATTGGTATTCGGTTTGGTGTAGTGTAAATTGAGGACTCAACTCCCCTACGATTAGTTTTGCTATTGTTTTAAAATGTGATTTATTGAATAATCAATTGTTTTCACATACTTCTTTTTTTGTTTTAAAAAAAATAAAGCTTTACATACATAAGAGTTCATTTTGAGGCAAACAATCCTTAATTTTCAGGGTCTACTTTTAATAAAGGAAAACCAACTTATTCTAAATAAAAGGCACACACTTCTAAGATACATAGTGGTCCTCACTTATCACAGAAGTTACAGTCCAGACACCCCCATGATAAGTGAAAATCAGCAAAGTAGCAACGTTATATTTATTTTAGTACCTATATGTTTTAAGGCTTTATAAATCCTTTCCACACTCTTATAAGCCTTTCCCACACTTTTAAAAACAATTCTGATGTTCTTAACCATTTTCTAAACTTGTACACCTATGTAATCTTAACAACATACGTATACTGTATGTACAGTACTGCAGTGTAGTGAAAAATGCATGATAAATAATTTAGGTTAAGATATTTTGAAAACCTGTAAAACAGTGAGTCTATGAGAGTTGGACTGCAGAACAGTGAGGGTCTACTGTAGCCTGATCCAAAGTTCCCTATATTATTTTATTAGTAAAATGATATTTTAACACTTTAAACAAGAAAGTACATTTTGAGCACAGTCTGCTGATACCTACTAAAAATGCAACTGATGTACAAACAACAGGTCTCCACAACTGTTTGAGTCATATTAAAGCACAGAGCTTTTAAAAATTTTACAAGGGGCCAGCGAGATAGCTCAGCAGTTTAAAGCACCTGCTTAGGCAAGCTTAGGCAAGTGCAGGGAATGCAGTTCGATCCCTGGCACCACGTGCTGCATCAGCCCCACCCCTAGTGTGAGCTGAGCTGGCCTCTTCCTCCCAAAAAAATTTAAATTTAAATTTAAAAAAAATCTCAGAAGTAACTCTGAGCAACAGAATTGACAATAAAAAATAGATAATATATCAACCATTGATAATCAGCTATTCTTGTTTTGAAAATCCATAACATATGTATTGTTGTATGGTACCCTGTTTCTGTCTTTGCTTCTGATTTTTGCTCTTGATGTTTTTACTCTTCAAAACAAAATTAAAATAAAAAAATTTCAGAAGTACATAAGGCTATACTAGTTTTGGATTGAGGGTTTCTAGTTGTAGAATGTAGCTTAAATACCTGGAATCCAAAGATTTTTAGGGTAAAGTTGAATTGAAATTCAGTATTAGCTGTACACATATATAAACTTAAAAGATTTTGCTACCTTATCAAGCAGTTTTTAAAAAGATAAGATGACTGAATTTTACATTATTAGATCTTACATTTTTTTTCACAAAGCTGAGTAACTTTATTTGTTCTTCTGGCAGCTTTTGTAATTTGCATTTTCTATCATTTAATTTTTCAAGGTCTTCATTAAGATGCCTCTGAACTGTTTTTATACGCATATTGTAATACATTATTTTTTTCATTGCTGTGGTCTAAAAGTAAGAAATAAAACAAAAGATTAAGTAAAAGAAGTCATAGGTAATTACAAGTAGTATTACGTGAGGATGACACATTCTACAGCCTGATGACATGCTTTTCTAGCTCAGTTACAAATTATAATGACAGCCAGAGGGATCACGGTTCAGAGTTCTCTACTTAAATTTAAAATACAAAGCACGCAAGTTCAAAGATGTTCTTCGTGGGTAGTACTTATGTGTGAGATGCATACACATTTATTTCCAGGATGACAGCATGAAGACACAAAAGACAGAATTTATAGAAGAGTATAATTTAGCTAGTGAGAATCAATCAAAAATAACAGGACAGTATAAACTAATCAACCATGATATAAAAATATGACCTAGTTTTAGCCATTTACCTGAAATAATGGAGATTCTCTTTATCAAGAAATTTAT